ACCTAACAATAGCCTGCTTCAAGCTGAGCTTGTAACTATTACACTACACACTAAAAATGTGTCATGGTTTCTTAATATTAACAATTTTGGGCTGTCTGCACGTTATTAGCTGTATTAAGATCTGATACATTAGGAAAACAAAACTGCAAATACAGGGGAACAATCCTGATTGTGTGCAGGTCCACTGTAAGAGCACATGAGATTATTTTTTAAAAGATCTGTTTTCAAAGCAGGAGTGACCAATATGAAATCACCTTTTGGTCTGTGGATAATCAGCTCCTCCACAGGTTGGAAACCATCAAGAGAACACCCTGCCTTGTCATTTATTGTTTCTTTTGGAGACATACATAGCAAATGCAAGTGTAAACTTATAAAACTGAATTGCTGGATTTATTTTTCCATCAGGAATTTGCATGTCAAAGAGCCAAATACAAGTATTTGCCTCTGTCCTCCCATCACTCCAGCCTCAACTGCCAACCTACAGCAATTCTTACAAAACTTACAATTTCTTCCCATTTCGTCTCTACAAATGAGGTAGCTCAGGGTAAAATAAAATAGAACAACCAGCCCAGTACACATCCCTTAAATTCTTCTTTAGGGCACAACTTACCTACAATGGCCAATAGATGACCAAGCAGCTACTATCCCTCTGTCCTCTGCTTATTACATTAAGAAGGATAATTTCACTATTTTATTTGCTATTTTCTGCCAACCTCTGCTTTCACTTCCCCCAGTTGTGTCTTACACTTCCAGCTTGGAAACATTTTTAGGTGAAAGCACACCTAAAACACGTATTGGTTTCTGTCTTAGGCCTGCAAGTACTATGGTAGCAAGAACTAATAACCAATAAAGATGGGATAGAGGCAGAATTCTCATTGAAAGATAACAAACTTATTTCCACAAGGGTGTATGCACATCACTAAATGGGAGGGCATGAAATGTTTACAATGCTGGTGTGTGATGGCCTGATGTGTGACAAAGAACGCTATAGTACTAAAAGTTTCAACCAGGGAGTTTCCTCCAAAAAACAACCTCAGGCCCTAGCAAGGAGGCATGAGATGGAAGGCACCTGGAAACACAGGATGCACCAAACACATACATATGTATTACACAGGCTTAAACAAAAAAACAGCCAAACAAAAACCCTGCAAAACCAATAAACCACAACCAGCGTTAAGAAGCCATTCTCAGTAGGAAAATAATGTTCCTGGTCATTTAGAGCCAAAGGAGAAAAGAAAATAAAAATATTTTTCACTCCTGTACAGAGAAAGATAACTATGTTTCTTGTACACAAAACTGATGAAATGCTGAAGAATTTCCAGTTGCAGTTCTGTTAGGTATGATCAGTAATAATTCTGGTAGCTACATCAGTTCACCACCCAGTCACCAGTGGCAATTTACCTTTTAATCAAGCACACACACCTCGGCCTGGGAATGACTTTCTCTTAGCATTCAAAAATAAAGCTGATGTAGGTCATTTCAGAAGCTGTATTCATCTCTGACCAATGGCAAAGCTGCTTGAAGGCTGAGCATGAGAAAAAAACAAAAGCAAATGCACATTTTAATTGCAGCATTTGACTGCGTACCACTGCGTTCAATACAGGGAGCAGCAGAATAAGCCATAAATGCATTTCCATACTGCCTCACAAAACTGTGAAAGTAGGGCTGAGGAAACAATAAACATAAGTTCTTCTTAAGACTCTTTTGCTCGTCAACCACACAGAAAAATCCCCAAAACCAAAACAAAACAATCTAAACCACAACCTGAATTGGAAGTAGGGAAAAAAAGAAAAAGGAAGAGATAAAAGATCCTTTCTGTCCAGCTGGATACAATACCACTGGCTGTGCAAACCAACACAATCTCATCTTACAATAGGAAACTCAGAAAAACAGAAGAATGCATTCTTTCCTAAAGCTATCTTAATTATATGATCGACCATGGTTATGAAGCCTGAAAATTACCTTCTGTGCCAGCATGTTTTGGTTCTCTTTGCACATAGATGTTATGTTTATTGCTTGTTTGCAAATATGTTTTAACACATGCCTATCCCCTCACTCTTAATGTCCTGTTTTACCCAACTATAGCCTGAAGTGAATTATAAATATGGAAGCTAAGAAACTGTTCTGCAGTTACAGGGGAATGATTAAGGATCAGAAATCTTCATTTCCAACTGTAGGAGTCCTTGTTTCATACTGAAAAAAGTGAAGCCAAAAGGATGACCTGTTATCACTGTGCAAGACATAAGCCTCCTTATTTGCCATGCAATTGGTAAGAGTTCTTGGGAATATTTCTAGAACACATAGAAAAGGTTAGAAAACAATAAGCACTTTTTTCAAGAAGAAAAGTTTCCAAAAAAAAACCAAAGAAACAAACACATTAAAATTAGCTTAATATTACTTACAAAAGTAACAGGCTATCATTGAATTCTGGAACGCAGTATTAGGTTTGGTTTCACACATCTAATGGGACTTCAGCTCCCATATTCATCCCACAGAGATGAATTAAGTTTCAAATAAAAGTTAAGCTTAATATAGAAAGGTGACTCAAGTAAGTTTCTATTTAACATAACACTCTAGATGGCAAAGACCTTTCTTTATTTGATCATTACTGCTTCACCTTCAACAGAATGAGAGGTATCTGGTTTCATGCCACATCCAAGTAATATCTCTACACAGTATTGTCCATCAAGTCTTAAGATAACAGCATGCTATGAAGAGGAAGGCAACTACTCCCATTCCTAGAAAAACACTTCATCATAAAAGCATGCCAAACCAGAACAGGCCTTTCCACTTTGAAAATGGTCATTTTGTTAGAAAACCATTACAAAAAGAATATTTTCACTGAGGTTCCTGGCCCCATGCTGAATATCAACCCATCATAATAATAACCTGAAGGAAAAAAAAATAACCAACACACCTACAGAGAGTTACATATGCACCTCTGAAAAGGACTGGAAGGAGATGAAACCTACTTGCTGGCAAAACAGAGCATTGTGCAGTTTCCATCATCTCCATCAAAGAATTTGTCATTTTTTTGCACTGGTTGCTATGTCTGTGCTTTCCCCGAAGTTTTGTAGGAAAAACAAACATGCTACAAAGACAGCATATTCTGAACGGCTGGCAAACTCTTTTCTATTTCCTAAACGGCCACATCAGTTATATAAATTAGTGCTATATACTGCCAGCTGAATATTTAAAATAAAATACATTTCCAGACCAGAAAGATTTCTCTCAGCAACAATCCTATTACTATCAGTTTAAAAATGTGTCACTTCCTCTTTGTGAGCCCTGTAATTACTTAAATACACTTTACACCATTCTTTTGTCATTATGACTGCTCTGTGATTTTATGCTCTCATTTTATCTTTTTTTCTCAGAAAAAAAAATATTCAGCTATTTAAGAAACAATATATTTATTAAAATGTTTTAATAGAAAGTTTTTCACCATCTTCCTCAAGAGCATTGCAGGAAGGGTATGTCAATCAACAGTGTTCTGGAACTTTTGTCTCCCTGACAAACAGGAATACTAACAAGTAGAAAAAAAGACCTGTAAGTTGAAGGACTCATATGTTCTCAGTGTCTACAGTGGAGATTTGGAGCACCTCAGCTCCAACAACTAGGAAGGAATTCCCCAACAGATTAAGAAAGGGAAATCAAGACAGGATGGAATAGATGGAGATACAGAGAGGATAGCAGCTAGCTTTAACACCCACATAGCCTTTAGGCCTCAGGGCACCAGCTGCAGCAGCTTTTGGGATACATAAGGTAAAGCACCTGACAAATCTTTGCCTTGAGAGCCCACCCTGCCTGCCAGAGAATACCCACCACCTGCTAAAGCCAATAACTTTGGTTCTGCAGCAGACTCCTCTTGCCTGATACCTCAGGGCAGCCACAGGGCTCCCAGCTGGAAGAGAGTGATGGGCTGATGCTCAAAGACTACCTCACCCAACAAAAAACAAAAAAACCCAACAAAACAACAACGTAACACACCCATAACCACAAAGCAAACCAAACACAAAACACCACAAAACAAAAAAAAAACAAACCCATGACACCAAATGTCACACTTTTACCTAGTCTTTCTGTCAGTGTAAGAGTATCTAGGCTGGAAACCCTGGTCTGGATCCTTGACTCCTTGTCATCTATCCTACCTAGTTCCCTTGATGTAACAATGTCTATTTGGTATTTGGGAAGATGGTCTTCAGAGCAAAGTACTTGTAATGGGTCAGCTACACACCAGTGTCACCAAGTTGTTACCTAAAAGGGAGAGAGGGGAGAGGGGCTTTGATGCTTCATCCTCAACTTCCATAAGCAAAAGAGGTGACAGGACAACTTGGTTTTACAGCAGTCTTGTCTGCTGCGGACTTGACAGAAACCTTATCCTTGACTTGGTAAAAGTAACTGGCCAACTATCCTAAAGTTCAGTGGGCTGAGTAAACTAATGTGATAAGAAAAGTAACCTCCCACTCCATGCAAGTAAACAGGTCTTTTTCTGTTCAAACAGACCTATTCCGGGTGATGTCTTAAATGATGTTTTCTATGATGTTTGTAATGATACTTTTTAGATAGAAAACATTACATTTCAGAACAGCCGATCCAGTTTTGTTTCAGATGGTAAAATGGTAAGGGAGAGTGTGAAAAATAGATAGTTTTAATCTCCTCCTTTATGACCCTCTGACACAGCCTCTGAATTGTCATACCTTGAGTTTTTCTCTATAGCATAATCCAAATTAACCATCTGTTGGGCAGGGCTTACCTTTTTTTGGTCTCTACATCACAAACTGAGTTTTCAGAAATAGAAAGCGAAAGGATGAATGCTTAAGAAATCAATAATGCCAAAGGTCTACATTTAATAGAAGCGTCAGCAATTTAAGGTGTTTTCTCTTTAAAGTATATTAGCTCCACATCAGAACACCTTGTCTTCAGGCAACAGTCTAACCAGCTTCAGCAACTGGATAGCACCATTAAGGCTAGCACTGGAGCATTCACCAGGCAAGGCAATTCTGCCATTAAACACACTTCATGGAATGTGATAAACAAGAAATGTATTACCTTTCTACAGCAAAATATACTGTAAATGCTTGGAAAAAAAAGGTGTGCTTGACTAATGGCAACATGCTGGTTTTAGCCCTTAAGCAGACCTAAAGACCCTTAAGTACAGTACCTCCCCACATACACTGGTTTTTAACATCAGGTTATAAACATTTAAAGCACACAGGTTCTCTGCGCTGACAGCTTTGAGAAAGTATTCGGCTATATTGCCTTCATGGACTACCCTAACAGGCTGAGGACTGCATTGGCAGCACTGTCAAATCAGTTATTTGTACCCAGATGGTCAGTAGATTAGCAAAATGAGCACTGATCCCTACAAAAAGAGTGAACAGATATGCTGTACCCTGCAATAAAGCAGACTACCCTACTATGCTCATATAAAGGCCACATCCCTTATTTATAATGCCAAAATGGGGGAAGAGTGAAGCTCTCATTAAAGCCAGTAAGATACACCTGCAGAGGCACATACACATTTGCAGTCTCTGTACAGAAGGTTGTGAGCACAGGCACACCCCGTTTGTGTGACTTCCTCCTTCAAGATGGGTCTGTTCTGGCTCCAGTTAGGAGTTTTTACATATCTGAACAAGAATAAAGTTTTACATGTCTTGAGTGCCTTTCACTCAAAGATCTCAAAGGACTTTATATCTATTACATATGTCCCAATCCCTCCCCCTGTGAGGTAGGTATTTTTCCTATTATTTACAGATGGGGAAATTTAGGCACAGAGGTTACATTATTTGCCCACAGTCACACAGTGAGACAGTGACAAAATAAAACAGAATCCAGATGTTCTGATTCTTGTTTGCACAATCCAACTACTAACAAGCCTCAATTTCCAAAGAGCCTTAAACAATTATCAGTGTGCAGAAGAACAGTCTTGGGTTTCAAGGGCCACTCCTAAAAAGTGTAAGGAGGAAAACCAGGAAGTTAAAAAAAAACAAATGAGAGGACACAACCAAGCCAATACAGCTTTAAAGAAACAGTTCCTGCTAATTCCCTTCCCAAAGCTGAGCAGCTTGACTATGAGCCTGGGATACAGGGGGTGGGAAAAGGAGGCTGATGGAACCAAAGGTTTAAACAAAAAAGAAAGCTAGAGTTAACATCCATACCATAAACCTTCAGCTTTTTGAAAGCACAGGATCATAGAAAAATAGGGCCAAGAAGGACCTCAAGAGATCAATGAAGTCCATCCAACCTGCCTTGAAGTCAGGATTAACTACACCTACTCATTCCCAACAGTCTAGCTGGTTTGTTCTCAAAAATCGCCATCAGTAGGAATGCCATGCCCTTCCTCTGCAGTCTGTTCCACCCTGCACTATCACATGAGCAAAAGAGGACAAGCGAGTCTAAGATAGCTACTTCTGCTCCTTCGGTGGGGGTACCATGATTCCCAGGCCTGTCTAATGATCTGAACACATTTTAGAGAATGTAGTCTCCAGATATTTGTTTCTGTCCTGGATTCCTTGGGAAAACATCAAACACTGATGTCTGCTGCAGTGTAGTAACTGAGTTTTGAAAATACTGATTAATACCAGGATAGATATCAATATACTTACTGCAAGTGCCAAATCCTACAAGGTTAGTAACAAGGACTTTGATATGATAATTTCAGCTCATTGCAGATTCAAACTGCAATAAGAGGGCAGGGAAGACTACAGAAAAAACCCACAGCAAGTCAGCAGCTCACAGCTGCCAAGTTTCATCCAACTGCAAAAAGCAGGCAGTCGAACAACATATCTTCAGCAGAGGCAGCACCATATGATCTCTGTAGCATCCCTCCATCTCATCTGTCTTCAAAGTGCATTCTCAGTGCAAAAAGTAGGATTGAATTTAGAGGGGCTCACTGTCCCCAGTGGATTTCATACTAGGACCAGAATTCTTGCTTGAGTTCATATGCTGCAGCTTTTTGTGAGTTAAGTTCACTTCTGCATAGCGGAATGGTGCTGTCCTGGCTCTGCCCCTCAGCATCTATGTCCAACAGTGTCCGCTCCTCTACAGGAAGACCCACCTGGAAAGGAAGCAGTGCAGGCAGTCCAGGTCTCTCTTCTACAGTGCTGCTGCTACTAGCAAAACAAGAGTCCAGATTGCTTGGAGTATCAGTACTTGAACTGTTTGCAGAAGATTCACCCTTGGTATTGCTGGGTGATACAAACCACCAGGGATCAAGCCGCTGCCGACTGGCTGCAGGACGTGGCCGAGGCAGGAATTCCAGTGTCTTGGGTCTTTCCAGTGTGGGGTCCTGCTGTGCATTCCATCGTCTCGGGGCTGGAGGGAAAACAAGGTTGGGGTCTGGCAGGCGAGGGACCTCACTGGGATCTCTACTTGGACTAGGTGTTTTTAATACACCTATCCAAAACAGAAGATGTAAGAGAAGAAGGAAACAAGTTAGATGTCACTGCTAAATGGTTCCAACAGGTCTTAGTTTACTGTATGTATACTACTAAAACATTTTCAAAGCAGAAAGCCTCCAATCAGAATCTATGAACTGTGTTTCTTCAGGACCACACCAATCTGAAGTAACTGTCTTCTTTAACCCTATGCTGTTCTCAACACATTGCAAGACACTGGCCTAGCACAAGCAACAAGTTTTGTTCATTCTCTCATTTGCTTTCTTTAGTTCTCAGACTGAAGAGCATGGGTTTGACCTCCTACCAGAGGTGAGGACTCTCCAAATCCTTCCAAGGGCACATTACCCATCAACAACTTGAATGGATCAGGGAGACACTTGCACAGCAGGGTATGCGACACCTATTTGCAGTGAGCAGTACCAACTTCCTGAAGACTCAATAAACACCACCTACTGTGGGCACTTGTTGGTTGCTTTTTGTTTAGGGATGGGGGATGGTGTTTTCTTTTATATATAAACACAACTTTTACATTTTCATGAATACCATTTTAATGAGTATTCTCAGTTGCATTAACCCACATTTTACTGCAGACTGCCATTCAACAGACAACCTCACATTTTGTTTTACCTCTGGGAAAAGTCTAATTAAATCAGATTTTAATTTATTATTCTAGTTCTTTTTTTTTTCCCTCTGAATTACTAGAGCAAGAAAACAGGAAAGGGTTTTTTTAAGTTATCAAGTCATAGCCACTCCTAAAGACTGCAACAGTGAGAACACTGCCTACACAGGAAGATCCCTTTTACTTGGAGCAATAGTGGCATAGCCCCAAACTGTTTCAGAGATCCTGTTTTCACTGCCTTAAAGATCAGAATTTACTTTGATATTATAACAGCAATACAAACAAGTGTATAAAGGCATTGGATATGGAATACTGAGGAACTGCTAAAATGCACAGCATTTGTACGTTGGTACCATCTTTATCTAAGAAACAATACTACACTCTGCTTCATAGCACAGGAGAGGAGAGTTCCTTAGCTGAGATGCTGGAACAGAGACAATTACTGTATTATTCTGTTCATCATTTGTGTAAAGGCAGCACCTATAAGCTCATCTTATGGACTGACCATCACAATGGATGCTGTGTAAGCAACATGTTTACTCCCGAATAAACAGTTATACTCTTTGGGTCTTTATTCTGAAGAGGAAAAGGAAGATGGCTAAAAACCTACCTGCTCCCAGTGCTCCAGTTAAACAGCTACTGGAAGGGCATCCACTGGTTGGGCACCCACTGACAACTAGTCCGCTCCCTTTGATGGCCCCATCAGAAGGTGTGCGCCTGTGCCCGCTTTGCTGGGTGTGGGAAGAGAGCGTCACATGGGTGGGAGTCAGGGACTGGTTGGGGTCTTGTTTGAACCTCTCGATCTGGACATTGACTAGTGGGTTGGTAATGGCTGGCATGGGAGCCTTGACTGTCACTGGGCTGACAGGCATTTCATACACCACGATCTCATCACTGTCTGAGCGCAGCAGGGACCGGGTGGAATTACATTCGGAAATGGAAGACAGGGACAGAAGGGTGAGGGATGTGGATGGCTCGCCTAGCAACAACATGGGATCATCTTTCCTGAAGATCTTTCTGGAAGGTGGACTAGTGCTCCTGCGCTGGCGTCCAGCTCGCTGGAAAAGGCTGTCACGCTTCTTCTTCTCTTCCCTGGGTGCCTCTGGCTCCTCCTCAATCAGCAGCTGACACTTCCCTGCTTCTAACAGATCAAAACCCAGGCCTGCAGCAGCTAGCACTGCTCCACAGCCAAGCAATGCAATCTCACATCGCTTGTGGTGGGAGCCACTACGTTTGAGGCTGTTGGTGGGTGTCAGCTGTGGGGTACTAGTAGCAGAGTTCACAGGGGTGGACTCCTCATTGGCATCACTAGAAGGGCCATCCCAGTCTTCATTCTTCTGAAATGGGATGCAGAGGTATGACTGATTGTGCCCAGGTGAAGGGTGCACCTTGCCCTCCCCATTAAGGCATTCACTGTCTTCATCATCTGAAAAGCAAATGAAAACAGACTTTGCATTGATGTCACATTTTCACTGGCAAATTTCACTTCCTTACAAATATACATGAAAATAAGCTTCACTCAGAAGACAGAACTGTCCTCATTGCAAGCATCATTCCAAGTGCCAAATACTCACAGGCTACTGTCTCCAAAGCCCATAGACTGAGACAAATAACTGGAAACACTACCAAAGTGTTTGGGATCAACTGCAGAACAGTATTTCAGAAACAAGTTACACCTCAGTTATTTCTAGAGTAAAATTATATGTTTGGGAGTGAAGAGCAAAAGGCAGGAAAATTACAAGGATCTCTCCTTACAAGTGAAGGTATAACCATGCTGCACATCTAAATACCATTAACAAGAATGGAACTGAGAGGTAGCATGGAGCTAGAGGGGAACTGAAAGAAGCTGGTTTCCTTGACAGGTAAGAGGCACAAGCAGAAAACTAAACAGAAAGAAAATTAAAAAGGAGAAAGTTATTTCACAAAGAATAAAAGAAAACCGGATACCACCTAAATGAAAACATTGCTGTAAGGTACTGGGTGAAGGTCAGGAAAAGAGAGGGTCATTCAGATGTGAATGGAAGTGGAGATGAGAATATAAAGTCCAGGGAATTCTTTTACCCATCTCTGCTAAGCTGGTGAAACCTGGAAAAGCAGGTGCAGTTCTCTGGATCTTCCCAAGGTTCGGTGCACTCGATGACCACTGTTTGTATCCTTCTACCAGAGCTTTCAGACTGAAACAGTAGAACGATGGGAGAAAATGTGCCATGTTCACAACCAATTTTCATTCCCCCTTCCATATTCTACATAGAGTATGCAGGAATCCACCTTAACTACACATATTTGAACTCCTCCCATAGCAAGACATTTTGCAACATCTTTACAGCACCTTAAAATACAAGAAAAGTAAAAAAGTCCCTCCCTCATTCGTTACACCATGGCAGTCAAAAGCCCTCTGCTGATACCATGAATGCAGAATAACAGAAACCACCACTAAAAAAAATCAGATGGAACACTTTCTTTTTAAACCAAGGCAAACCTACCATGGCAGATAAAAAATAAAGTGCTCAGCAGGAGGAGGGGAATAACTCCAAAAACATCTCCATGTGAAATACAAATGAATGATGGAAGTCAAAGATCACTCACTGGGACAATAATATGCTCAAGTCATTGTAACAGTGGAGTTATGCCTCTGTATTGTAAATCCCAATATTTGTTCTCTAAAGAAAACACCTCATTGAAGTACAGACATTTAAAAGTATATTATGGAAAGGCAGGTAATTAAAATCATAAATCATGTCATTGCTTCTTTTACTTACAGACAAAAAAAAAACACCAAAACCACAAACGAGTGAAAAACCCAAACCCAAATCCTTACTGATGTCACCTGCATTTAAGAGTATGTCACTAGGTACCTGAGCTTATTAGTATTCATAGGTATTCACTACCATCAACCTATTTGTTCCCTGTGGTACTTTCATGACATCAGAAACAACTCTAGTAAGCAGCTCAATCTGAACAGAAAGATAAATAGCTACCAAAAAACTTTCAAGGCCTGCTATGATTGCCTCAAGGTTATGAAATCTTCATCCTTCCTTTTTATTTTTCATTTCTTCTCTCTCTCCTCCCCAAGTTACAAGTAGGCCCCCAAAACCTGTCCAGAGGATAACAGGACATCGTCTTAAAAATTAGACAGTAGTGTGCATTTGTAAACAATTCAAAACATGCTGAGTACATTCCTACTACAGCAATATTACCTGTTGCTGCTCCAAGGAAAAAGCAACTGGAATGATTTGCAAACATTAGCAGTAAAACTATCTATTTCAGACACCAGCACAAACAGTTCAGGAACCTGAAGACTTCTTACCTGTAATCTATTTAGATTAAATAACAGGAAGGTTATTACTCTCTTTGTTGTATTATGGTTGAGTTACTTCTCAGTTGCCTTTTTCTATGGGGAAGTCAAAAGCACCTCTCTTTAGGAGTACTAAGGTGACAAGGCTTATTTGCTCAGCAAATTGCAAAAAACTTCCCTACAACTATAAGACTGCACCTCCAGTGTTGTAATACCATTCTGTAATATTCTGTAATGTTGAGGCACTAATACAATACTGTCATGAATAAAATGTGTCTATTCTCAGGCTCACCCCTATTTAGCTTGCAAGATTTTAAGAGAGCATTGCTAAAGAACTATGACTAGCCCACATCTAGTGTCACCTTCTGTAAAATTGGTAGCACCACCAGCCTGAAAACTTAAACAGGGTAAAAATCACCCATGCCACAATAACAGCCAGAGAATAGTCAATGCCCAGTTTAAAGACAATTAAGACTTCATCAGATATGCTTGAGAATATAGCATAAGATCACAACTGGACTGTCACAACACTAGTCCAACATAAAGCTTCATCCAGTCTCTGCAATTTAGCACAGCATCCTTCTGCTGCTGTGCATATTCATTATGATCAAAGATAAATGCAGAAGAGTGAATAATCACTATATAATCTTTTCATGACTGCCTTTACTTGATGTTAATTACAGGTCATTTTATTCATGCTAGAGAATTTCACTGAAATTCCCACAATGTAATTCTTGCATAGATTTAGGATTGCCTTCTGTGGAGACCACATGGAAAGTGATAAAAAAGATGAAGATTCAAGTTCCATTGATCAGAGTCGTGAAAGCAGCTGGAATAGTAGCACTGCTGCTACTAGAACAGTGTCATGAAGAAGATTTGAATTGGACTTTTCTATCCTAAGTTTAGCTCTTCACTTTACCTCATTACCCCCCTACCCTCTAAAACTAGAATTATAAAATAGAAAAAATAGCAAGCACTCAATCTTTTGAGTCACTCACATTTACTGCAGCTCTGCCCTCTTTAATTTAAAGTCTGCAGTGCAGGCCTTAAAATTAAGCCTGCATAATCTCGACAAGAAGCCATAGTTCATTTTATGTGTTAACCACACTGCCCTCTCAGCAACACTATCATGTTTCAGATACTCTGCAAAACGCTATAGCTGCATTGAGTCTTCCTGGAAAAGGTGATGAATACTACCCAACATCTCAATTGTAGAAAGAACACCATTGTTTTAAGAGCAACCATGGTTAGCAAGCAACTCCCCTCCAGCTGTCTGTGCCCAAAAGCAATTCAGAGCTTCAGATTGAACAGGAAACTGAAGAGCTTTATTCCCAGAATTCTAAGAACGTGACTTCTATACAGGTAGAAATGTTTTTCTACCAGCTTCAGTGATCTCCTGCCTTTTATATAATTAATGATTTTAAAGCATGACAATAGGTAAAGCATAGGCAGCAGTCAAAGCAGCTTCCCCCACATTGCCCTGTTAACATGTCAAGAGTACCTTTGAGGGAGAACATTTTAATGTCATTAGAACACTCAGATCCAGGCCCTCTTGCAGAGGACTGCAATAGTGATGCATTATGTAAACATCTATTTTCCAAGAATTTCACACCCGAGGACATAATTTTAAAGAAAAATTATAACCATTTTATTTTCCTTGCTAAAAAATATGGCAGGAGACAAACTGTCAATTTAGCAGGGGAAAAAGCTTCCAATTCCACTAAAAATAACAAGACATTCAAACCTCTTAGAAGATCAAAATATTCCTATGTTTAAAGCAGCATTTCAGCAATGATCCGTTGGGGTCCTGGTATAAATAATTCAGACACACACACAAAAAGACAAGCCACAAGATAAGAATCTATAGAAATAGATCTCTGCAAAAATCACTTTCAGGATATAGTCACTCCAGCTACATGTCCTTTTCAAAAGCCCAAAGAGAAGATACGTTCCTGGCTCTACCAGATACTTTAAAAATAATCATTGACTCGACTAGGTTGGAAAAGACCCTTAAGATCATCAAGTCCAACCATTACCCCAGGACTTCTAAGACCATCACTAAACCATATCACTGAGGGCCTCGTCTACATGGTTTTTTGAACACTTCCAGGGACGTGCCCACTGCCCTGGGCAGCCTGTTTCAATGCCTGATCACCCTCTACAGGAAGAAATTCTTCCTAATATCCAGCCTAAACCTCCCTTGGCACAGCTTGAGGCCATTACCTCTTGTCCTATCACTCGTTACTTGGGAGAAGAGACCAACCCCCACCTCACTACAGCCTCCTTTCAGGCAGTTGTAGAGAGCGATAAGGTCCTCCCCTGAACCTTCCCTTCTCCAGACTAAACACTCAATTGTTCCTCATCAGACTTGTGCTCCAGATCCTTCACCAGCTTCATTGCCCTTCTCCGGACCCACTTCAGCACCTCAATGTCTTTCTTGTAGTGAGGGGCCCAGAGCTGAACACAGTATTCCAGGTGTGCCCTCACCACTGCTGAGTACAGGGAGAGATCACGTCCCTGGCCCTGCTGGCTACACTATTTCTGATAGAGGCCAGGATGCAGTTGGCCTTCTTGGCTGCCTGGGCACCAGCTGGCTTACATTCAGCTTCATGGGACATCCCCAGGTCCTTGTCTGCTGAGCAGCTCTTCCCCAAGCCTGGAGCATTGCATGGGGCTGTGGTCCAGATGCAGGACCTCAGCACTTTGCCTTGTTGAACCTCAAATAACAGCATTTAGGACAAGAAAAGCATAGCTGTGAATTGTAAAGGAGAAGTAGTTCCAGCTATTATATGAAACTACAGGGAGCTGAGCCTGGAAATAAAGAAAAGCTACTAGAGAAACAGTTTTGTACAGCCAGGAAATTCTACTGCTTACAAGTACACATACCAAGGTAACAACAGACAGTGAAAACATCAGTCAATGCTGTACCTCTAGCAAGGGCCTGACTGCAATGCAGTACTGTAATCTCCAATATCCCTGGTACAGAAAATAAGTTTGGAAAAGGAAAGTGTTTGCAAAAGGAAAGGCAAATCTCCTGTGAGCCAGCTCATAACTGATTTTAGAATCTAGAAACCAGTCTGCTTCCAGGCTCTCTCTTACCCATCTTCTCCTGCACCTAGCTCCTTGTGACAAAGTGAGCTTGGTCCCCAGGTGCGTCCCTTTTTCTTCTGGCCTCTCTTTTCTTCTTCCTCTCCTTCCTCCTTTGGAAGGACTGAGCTTCGTCCCCATGTTTTACTGCTTTCAGCAGGAGTCACTTCACAGGTGGGAAGAACAGTGGAAAATGGGAAAGAAAAAAAGATATACAACTTAAAGAATTGGTTCCAAAGCAACATAAAGAATAAAACATAGGCTGGAACAGGAATAGTAATGAAAACACCCCTTCAGGCTTATTTCCCATAGTTTTGACCATTTATCAACACATATCTAAGAACCACATCCCTTCAAATCTAGTGTAAGTAGGCTTTATAGCTTTACGCCATCACTGGTTTTTCTTTTAGAACCACCAGTTTGATACCAGACACACAAGTGTTGTGATGTCCAATACAAACACTACACATTAATTAACATCCCTCTCATACTTCTAAACATGCTTGTGTGCCTAATTCTGGTTTATTATGGGAAACTATTTTCATGACAAGCGCCCTTGATCTTCTTTCCTTCCAAAAGTAACTTAATCCACCTCAATAATGTTTCATAGATCTGTTCTGCAAGTTAGTACACCCAAGCAATGTATTTTTCTATATAAGCAGCAATGTTTCAAGAGCATGGGTAAGTCAGGTTTGCACTCCAAAGAAGGAGATACTTTCCCCCCCATCACCAACACACTCCATTTTTCTCTGCAAATGCATACACGCAGGATGCAAGGCAAACATTTTAGGAACGGTTTTTTTACAGTCCTGTCCTAGATATGGAATCTTGGCATCTGACCACGCTGACAGACTGCACATTTCCCAAATTCAATACTACATTGAGCTCCTTACACTGTATGGCCCTGAGTCTGGGAATAATTGTGGGACTTGCAGGAGGGCTGGAGCAGCTACTGATCAAGCTTTTCCTTTTATCCATCGTCGGAGAAGCCTGCACAGTGAATTTATGCTGAAAATCTGCTTCCCAAAAGAAAAAAAAATCAAAACAAAAACAGAAAGACAGTTAAAATTCTTTTGCTTAATATAAGAAAAATGAAGTAATAATTCATGCTTTTGAAGAGTGCAAATTACAGGATCTATGTAGAAATGAAGTTTTACAGTTAATAGCTATTTTGCTGTTGTACATACAGTTACTTCAGAACAAAGATGTGCATTCACACTCGCAAAAACATACCATCATAGTGTATATGAGAGATGCATACACACACATATCCCCATGCGTTGACTGACATTTAAGCTAAAGTATATCCCTGGATAAATTCCTTTCATCTTCTCTCAGTTTAAGCTAAGCAAAACCACCAGCAGTATGTGTTTACAGACCTGAAGAAAAGCATAGTTAACAAGCACATTTTATCATTGCTCTTCTGAACAGCCAACCTCTCTCAGAAAACACAAAATATAGCGTAAGCCATGATCCTTGAAGTAATGATGGATGAGCCTCAGGTGATTTACAAAACCAACGCTTTTGTTCTTTCACAAATTTGAATCTCCATAAAGAAACCACAGCAGGAATGATAAGGACTTAGTATTTCTGAAAATCACCATCTTTGCTTTCTTGAGAGTGACTTCCATGACACCCCACTGATAACATTTTCTTCCAGAAGGGTGGTATTAGAGGTCACTTGTGTGTTAATATGAGTTCACTTATGAAACTAGCAATGTAGGGCTGTAGTGTCACAGCTATTGACTTTTTAGATAATTTTAAGATTCCTGCACCAAGAAATCCAGTAGATTATGGCTTCTGCTGCAGCATTATGTAAAATATTACTAATGCAAGAACCTCCATCATTTTTTATGTACATCTTTTCTTAAACTGATCATTTTGAGTATCAAATTGTTAAACTGCAACACCAACATTTTCACCATGAACCATATACAGCCATTGACTAACAAACATGTAATAACTCAAACTTACTTCTGTCCTTTATCTTTGGAATTTTGGGGAATGCTAGCCACAAGATGATCATATTTTCTAGAGTTTCTTGATCTCAAGACACATGTTTTTCCCAAGGTACATCAAATACTTTCTAGATTCTATGATCCTAATGTGTAAGTATCAGCAGAAAGGAGTTACCAAACCAACAGGTTCAACTGTTCTTCCCATTTCACCTTACACAGTCTAACATGTGACCAACCTGAAGGCAGGCTGATATGATTGCCATCTTTTAACTTGAGCCGGTTCCTCTTGAACTTCCCCATGCGTTTCTTCACCCGAGGCTTCTCCTGACACAGCTGGTGGATAATGATGTTGAGCTCCCTTTCCAGGATGTCAATCTCGCGTTCTGCCAGCTCCTGTTCCCTCCTTCGTAGCAACTCCTCATGGTTCTTCTGTTCAACAGCAGCACGAGTCAGTTCTTCTTCCCATGTGCGCAGCTCCTGCAGGGAGAGAAGAAAGGAGAAACAAAAAACTACCTTGTGACCTGTGGGTTAAGACTAACACTATATATTCTGAAGATACAGCAGCAATGACCTGTGCTCACAGCACTGGTTAAAGGCCCAGCTGAAAGCCAAAAGCAATCTTCAAGAACTTCTGTGCTTGCCATTCAAGACCCTTCCTATCAGTATTAAAATATGGATATAAGCATTGTGAGGCTGCACGCAGAATCCTGTGTCCAGTTCCAGGGTCTCCAGAAAAAAAGATACTGACATGGGAAGAGTCCAACAAAGGGCCTTGAAGATCATTAAGAGTCTGGAGCATGTCTCCTGTGAGGAAGGGCTAAGAGAGATGGGTCTGTTTATCCTAGCAAAGAGAAGGTTTGGGTGGGGGGAAAGGTGATCTTACAGTGTATATGAAATCCTGAGGGAAGGGTGCAAAGAAGATAGGCCAGGCTCCTTTCAGCAGTGTCTAGTGACAGGACAAGAGGCAATAGGCACACAGGAGATACACTCTGAACCCTTTTTTACCATAAGCATTACTGAACACTGCCACAGGTTACCCACAGAGGTTGTGGAGTTTCCTACCTTTCAGACCATCTGGACACAGTCTTGGGCAACTGGCTCTAGCTGGCTGTGTGCGAATAGGGGACTTGGACTCCATGACCTTCAGAGGTCCCTCCAACTTCAACCACACTGTGATTCTGTGCAAAGGCACTGAGTCCTAAATTCATTGTCATGAGAAAATACTCTGGATATCTAACATGAACACGCTTATGAGAGCCATTGAAGAGTATCATGCATATGGGAACCCGTTCTGGAAGATTTATTCATAACAGTCAAAAGAATCAATCTTTGCTTTCCTGTTCAATAAGTACCTATATTAACTTCAGTAATGACTTAGACTATTTAAAAATAACCTTGCCATCTCATGCATCGTAGTAGCAAAAAACACATCTCTAACAAAAATGAATGAGGAAAACATCAGGAGGCCATTCCCATCATTTTCCAGCAAGCATGGCTGCGCCTTAGGCTTAAAGATGCATAAGGCAAACTTTCCAATTTTTCCCCTGTTGACAAAATAAATCAACTGAAACTGTCCTTGGGATCTCAAAATGTCTTTTTACTGCACTCCTCTTACCACAAGGACAAAAGAATTCAGCACTCGGAATAATTATCTCCAGCTGGCTAGTGCCAATGCAGAGCTAAAAACTGAAGACTTGAAGCTAATCTTCAGATAGAACACAGACAGATTTTACCTTAGATTATTTAAATTTTTTTAGTGATGTCACTGTTACCTGTCCCATCATGATGGAGGTGAAATTCAGTGCATTTCATTCCTGAGGTGAACAGGATATATAAAGTTCCTTCTCTCTGCCTCACAAGTCCAACTTTTGAGCCCAAATCAAGTTGGTTGCTTATTACAAAATTATTTTAGGCAAGAGACCATGAACCTTTATAAAAATATTATTAGTGATTCCACTGCAGTATTTCATAGCAACAACTGCAAAGACAGTCCCTGCAAGGACCCATCTATGTTTACATAGATGCAGCAAGGTGTGCTTTACACAAGTATGCTTGAAGAAAACTTCAGCTTTTCACATCAGCCTCTTGGAGACTGATGGTCACAATTCCTTTTATTCCTGCTAGTATTTTTATTTCCTGCTATTTACCCAGATGGACTTCAACTGTAACAGTTATTATGCCATTCCCCTGGCAGCACTCATGCTTACTATAGTCTATCCACTTTGGCTGTGCTTAAAACCTGGAAAACACAAACCTCACAGAACCAAAACTGCAATGCTTATTAGAGTATATATGTTGAAATCACCTTCCCTGCGTTTACTGTTTACAGTTATCATTTGGCTTCTCAATTAAGATCTAACAGCGAAATAGCTATCAGATGCATTAAATAATGGAGACAACTCATCATAGCAATTTGCACAGTGTGTAATGGAAGCTCACTACAGTATTAGAGTAGCAGCTCAGCATGAGGGTATTTATTTTACTCATGATTCTTCCCTTTTCTGCATCGTGACCTGTCATTGATCTTGGGACTTATTCTTACCTTTTCTTTAGCTCTGAGCTGATCAAACATCTCTTGGATCTCTTGTTTCCAGTCTTCCTGCAGGGAGTGGAAGGAATCTTTGGGCATTTCAAAGAACCCAGACTCTTCTATGGCGGTGAGATGGTCTAGGATACTGGCAAAGGAAGGTCGTGAGTGTGGGTCAGGGTTCCAACAATCTAGAATAGGACAAAGACAAGCAGTTGTTAAGCATCTCTTAGTATGGAGGTTTGAGAAGATGAGTAGTACTTTACTGATCCCCAGTGGCTAAGAGTAGCATGCACACTATCTGTATTACCTCATCTTTTCCATTTCCCACTTGCATTGACTACTGTACCTTCATAGTCAAGTATAGATTTCATGCTTTCATGTTTATACAATACCCAGCATCATCTAAGATCTTGAACTACCTGGTCTCTAGGTTCTACTGCAGTAATATGCCACATAAAATAGAAGTTTACTAATTTTACAGGAAGTTACATTTTCAAATATATATTAAAAATCATAAATAATTTCTTTAAATATTTTGCTTTAAGTTGTATGTGCTCACAGACTGGAGATACTATGCAAGACCTGCAAACAATTGTTCTATCACACTTGCACTTCAATGTTAACAGCCATACTGCAGGATATGCTATCAGAGTTCCCTCTAATGCCAAACTAATATTAAGCTGAGTCATTATGAATCTCTTCCACAGAACTGAACATCTCTCCTGTAAAGCAGATTGGGCATCAAGCATACCTTGAGTAAAAACAGCAGATTCAAGCACATAATGACATCAAATAGTGCATTTTCAATTCTCTTATTTTTAAGGGTTCTTTATTATTTGAAAGAAAATTGTTTGATCAGGCTTTTTTATTTTGCTTTTAAGAGAAACCACAGATAAATAAGCTTTTTCATTTACAATCTAATGTAATAACTTACCCAGTTACAGAGCTCTAAAACCACAGAATTTAAGGTCCTATCTTACCACATGAGGCAACTCAACTAGCAATAGTACAAAAAGGTACTCCTTTTACAGTGATGGGAATTGAATGTTGAAAACAGAAACTGAAATAGAAAATGGTATGAAGCAACATCTCAAGCTACAAAAATCATTAATAACATTTTTTTAAAAAGCCATTAAGTCAAAATGTTCTTACTTATTCAGTTCTCCCTCTCACTTCATTGTTATTTCTACCCCTGCAGAAAGCATCGCTTTCTCATTCTATATTGTCCTGTACTGGCACTTACACAGGTTCTTGCTCAACAAGTATCCTTATTCTCTTTAGCACTGGTAGACCCCTGCATGCCAAAATTGGAGAAGAACCAAACAGAAAAAGCTTAGCAATCAAGCATATTTCTAAGGAATACAGTTTCTGTTCATGAATGGAAGAAACTAACATATGGGCTTCTCTCAATATGCTCACGCTATCATTGCTTTAAGGGGTCACTGGATTTCAGATACACATTACTGCAGCATGAGGCAGGAATTGTAAAGATTTTCTAAAGTTTCCTGGACCTTAGAGCTGGAAAAAACGAAACATGCTTACAAACATTCTGGTGATGTCTTAAAAGACTTTCATTCATCAGTTTCATGGATTGAAATACACCAAGGAGGGCCTGTAATTAAAACGAAATAACACTTCACAAAATCCGTGCAACTGGTGAGGCTTGGTTTTGCAGGTCTTTAATTTTAGCATTACTGAGATTTTGCACTTGGGAGCTTCGGTTTCAAAACTGCTGGTATCAAAATGCAGGTATTTAAGCATCTGGTCAGGTTCCAGGAGGCATAAGCTGGAACACATTTGTGTTTATGGATTTCAAAATTGCTTCTCTTATCAAAATAGAGTACTGAGGATGTTAAAGAGCACTTTGAAGGTCCCCTGCTGCTGACTAATTAGTGGCAATGTGCAATACAGCTGGACTGTCAGTGCCATAATTCCTACTTCTTTAACCCAGGTTTTAAGCATGGCAAAGCAAATGTGACCCAAAGTAAAACAAAACGCCACAGCCAGCCAAATGCATGAATGAATGAGTTAACAGGATAACTATGCAGGTGGCCTGTGGCTTTTACTTTCCCAGGCCTAGATTTGCCATTATTTGCACTAATGAGGACAGTTGTAATATACAAGTCTTTTCTGTAAGGAGGGAAAGTTCAGCTCTGTTGTCTCAGCAAAGACCACCAGAGCAGTCATTCAAAAGTAAAAGCAGCATTAGGGAAACAAGAGTTCACCCGAGATGGGAAACAACCTGTCTGAAAAACAGTTTTGGTGAAGGGGCAGAAAGTAATTGTTTTCTTGTTCTCTTCTTCCCCCTGCACACGCAGAAGCTTAGTGTTCCAAAGCCATGTGGGTGCACCCCTGTGCTGCTGGGTTCAAGCACTGGCCATGAGTCTCTACCCTAGTTTCCCAATAGAGGGCACTATTTTTAACCCCAGCAGCAGATAACCTTACTTATGTTTAAACAAATCCAGGGCATTTTCAGGGAACCATGTCAAAATAAATTGCCCTGGTATAGCACTGAGCTTGTACTTGCATTAACCCTTTCAGATGCAGTTTGTTGCTTTATATTGCTTCTGAGCTACCATACCTGCAACTTGGGAATAAGGTCATTGAAAAACACACTAAAGGCACTACTGTGAGAGAGAGAGGAAAGGAAGGAGGGAGGGACGAACAACTGAAGCTCAGGAGATACATAAGTAGTTGCAACAGCCAGCAGAGCAGGTCACATAGGTACACCCAAAAGCTACCTCACAGAATCCTTTTTAATAACTACAGAAGCTCTGATAACAAACTCCTATATTACTTTCCTCCATATATAGCCTACTTTGGGCATGAACTATCTCCACACACAAAGCAGAAAATCACATCATTCTGACTGATAATATGGGTTGTTTTCAAATGTCAAAGCCGCATTTAAACCCTCTCCCTGAAATGTCAGTAGGATAAAGTTTCATTCCAAACCAGACACTGCCTAGCAAGATGTTTGAGCTATGAATTTCAAATAAAGTTGAAGACTTCAAACTAGACCAATATATGGTAAGTTTTGGTGTTGGTGAGTCTTCAGTACTAGAAAACAAGAAGCTAGATGACAACAGCAGTAGCCCCCATTTTCCTACAAAGCCAGCTGATCAACAAATGGCAGGGAAATTACTTTCACATACTACCCTTGCAATAGAGTAACTGTCACAGCAACACTAACAGTCAAGCCTAGCTCCCATCATAACCTGCACCAGTGAATAAAGCCAAACACAAGGAGACAGTGCTCAACGGCACTCCAGATACAGCACAAACCATACTCACATCGCCGCTGGCTTACCTTCCATGAGTTTGGCAAAAGGCTCTGGACAGGTGGAAGGGATTGGAAGGGCAAGTTTATTCATGGCAACACCATATGCTACTGCAAGACCATCAATTCCTCGGAATGGTACTTCCCCAGTTAGCAGCTCCCAAAGCAGCACACCGTAACTACCAGGAAGAAAACAGAAAAGACAATAGGTATTTGACTTTAACACATTCATGGTTAAGCAACAAAAAAGTACCTGAACCCATCAGGGCGGGTCTGGTATACGAAGAAATAGCAGTTTACTGGACAAGCTCCTCATGGCTGCCAAGCTGGTAAAGTGCCTTATTTTACCTGCTTTTTTTATTAAGACTGAAATAGCCATTTTTGCTTTTTAGGCAAAAATAATTTTCTCTCTGGAAACCAGGAACAGTCTGGAAAACATTAACAAAAACCTGACTAATTTAGCAAATTTCAAATCAGAAGCCAGTGAAACTCTCAAAAATGTGAAGGAGGATTGTTTGGTGGGTTGCGATTGTTAAAAATAACTGAAAAATACTTCTTCAGAATCAACTTGTCCTTAAAATGTTCTATGAAATATTAACTATGATGTTAAGGAAATAGTTCCAGGACTGTTCTTTCCCCAGGTATATGATAAACAACCTATCCTCAGAATATTCTCTCTGCTTCTAGGAAACCTGAGACAGAGACAGCTTCATACTTTGTGGCCTTACAGTTTTTTCTTCCGTTGACCTGTCATATTCTCTTCTGAACCCATTTACCATGTTCTGTGGTAGTGAACCCCACAAATTTAATGACACATTACCAAAAAATAATTGCACGTGTTTGGTTTGGGCTTGTCATTAGGTAATTTTATTTGCTTCCCTGTGGTTCTTTCAATACAAGAAAGAATGAACGTAAATTCCCTATCAACTTCTTCCATGCCATCCATGATTTCACAGGCTCCTACTACATCCTGCCTAAATCATATTCCCTCCAGCTCCCAAAATCCTATTCTAGATAAATCCTAATCTAGTTACTTTCCTGAAAGAAGCCATTTCATATCTTTCATTGAACTCAGCATCTTCTTTTGGAATGACCAAAATCACAAAGTTTTAAAGATACACAGAGAGGCACAGTATTTCCTGTTTTCTTCTTTCTTTCCTATTAAATTTTAATTTGCCACTTGTCTTTCTGACTCCTTACAACATGAGCTAGGTTACCCACAGTAACTCCAATATCTTTTTACTGAATCATAATAGTAAAATTTAGAGTCCATCACTGTACATGTGAAATTCTCTCCTCTGTACTATTTTGTATTTATTACCATTTCATCTATTTTATCATTCATTACAGTAAAACTTTTCCTCAGCTCTCTGCAGCAGATTAACTTTTCTTATCACTAATAACTTGGTATTATCAGCAAATGTTACCTAGCCATTTACTGTTTTTTTTCTAATCACCTATGATTATGTTGAACACATAATTCCCCAAGAAAACTGATTTATTCCTCTAGTAATTAAGAACTAACTGATGAGAAACAGACCTGTCCTCTTTTCCCCATCAATTCACTTTCTTTAAAAGCTTTTGAAGAAAGATTTTGTTTTAAGTTTTCCTAAACCAAATATAGCATAAGCGATCTTACCACTTGTCCACATACTCAGTAACTCCTTCAAGAATTCCCATTTTTTCACAGGATCTGATTTCCTGCTAACAAAAGCTGACTCTTCCCCAGATACGCTCATATGTCCACCAGGTCCTCCCTCTTTAGTGCTGTTTCTACCATTTAGCAGAACTCAAAATCAGACTTGCTGATCCTCAGGAAGCTCTTAAGACCTGTCATCATGTCTGCTGCCTTCCACTTCCTCTAGCATTAAGGCAGCTTTAAGCAACATATTACACAGCACAGCTCTGTCATGTTCCTGTAGAAATCTTCAGTGTCACTGTAAATTCCAGCAAACTGTTACTGCCCATTTTATCAGTCAGTTTTAACACCTCTGTGGACAGTATTTCAGCATGAGATGTCCTCTAGCTCAGCTTCCCTAAAGAGAAATCTTAAAAAGCTTAAAAAGCCCCTCTTTGTTCCATTACAGCAGACACAGGTCACTAAGTGGCCTGTACGCCATATGTTCTCCTGCAGTGTTTTCACCTGTGCTGCATCTGAAAGCAATTTATTTGTTCTTATGGTTTTCATAAGACTCTCCTCAAAATACTTTTAATTTTCTGGAGTGTTTTACATTCAACTTGCCGGCAGTTAAGTCCATGCCTACTTTTTCTCGTTTGAATACAGGTTCTTCCTTTTGACGGATGTCTCTTCTACATTGTCTTCTTCATTCATTTAAAGTCTTTCCTGTGCATTTCTCTGAGCTTTAACATAGCATTCTCAAAAGATAACCATGTTCCATGTTCTCATTTTATTGTTTTTAAGCAAAATTCCTCAATGTTGTCATTAATATCCTTCATATTAAACATTACCGTAACAGACTGATTTTTCTTAACTGGTCTGGCAAAGATATTAAATATAAGTATACATGTATTTTGATCACAGTCACATTGTACAGTTTCAAAAGCCTCTCCTAAGCACACCTGAAGACCAAATGAAAAGCTGCTTCTCCTAAATGCTCCCTGCATAGCTGCTCCATGAAACAGCAAATTCTGAAGCTCAGAGATTAATCTCTTCTTGTTTCAAAGCAGCAAGTGCCTTAACCATTTGGGAGTAACCAAAGTTTTCATTATTTCATTGCAACCTGTACCCTTTCAATCTTCCCCCCAACCCATCAAGTTCATTGTAACTGCTGCTGTTGGACAAGCTTAACTCTACTTTTCCTATTTAGATATGGAATTTCAGTCACTAGAGATCCCACCTTTGCTGGTAGCACGTTTCTTTCCATCAAGATTCTCAGTTCTTGACTCTTTCTCTTCTTTCAGCTCTTTCTCAAGAGCTTCATTTGAAATAAATAAATAAATGGGAGTTTAAGAATTTCCCATTTCCTTTCTGTCTTCCTAGGATTCCTAAGACTCAAAGAAAAGGAATCCTGTACTGAATATATATTTGGCCTGTCTAAATCTGATTGGTTTTTCATGTTATTCTCCGGTTTGGAAGCAAGTGTTGATTTCAAAAGGCAGGAAAAGGTACCAAAGAGTTTTGTTATTACTTTACCACTAGTCCTGAATAAAGCATGTATTAGACAGGTTTTGTAATGGGGTGGTTAGGAAAGCACTATTGATGTGCTCAAAGCATTTCTTCAGTGGGGTAATTTTTAAAAAGACAAAGGAATGGACAGATTGCAGAAAAGGTCACTTTGTTTCTGACAAAGCTGAATCCACCTCTTCCTCAGGTACTTACAGTTCATTGCTGATAATACTGCTTCTGCAGAACAAGGGAAACACTGCTTTGTGGCATATGAACAACAATCATCCCAAATGATTAAACAGCAAGTGGTTTCCATTAATTCCTCAAGCAGAGGCTTGGGAATGCCAAAGGAAAAAGCCAGAGACAGAGAGATTTATAAAAAAAAAAAAAGGCATAAGAAGAAAGAACCAAGGGCCTCTCCTCACTCTCAACAGGGAGGAATCAAAACTTATCAAGCTCGTTTATTCTTGCAGCACACGGTAGCAATCTGGGGGCTTTAATTACAAAATGAACTATGTGATGCTGACCATGCATCCAAGTCAACTGACACCTGTATGAATAATTAACCATCTCCCAGTGAGCCAGTAATCCCTTAAACCATTTAACATCAAGTCCAATCCTACAGACTGGATTTTCAGAAAGAAGGCTGAAGGTCTTGCAGGATTTCACATGTGATTTTGCCAGCTCCCTTGTAAGTCTGTGAACTGACAAAAAACCAATAATTTCTTCTCACTGTTATTGCTCAAAAGTTTTTGTACCATAGGTTGCTCTTAACCATCTCCCTAGGTACAGCACTTTCCATGAGAAAGGAACTATTAGCCCAATAAGGAAATACCAGCAACAACAGAAACCAGAACATTAATACATTACTTTTGTTAAGAAATAAACTTCATTACATTTTAACGGCTATTAACAATTAGCAGTTTGACTGTTATCAGACTGGCAGCTCCAGAGCGGACATGTCCTGCATATTTCACAACAGTCACTTGCAACACTTGTCCCACATGAGCTTGTATCAACATTGCTAGTCAGCATTTATCTGCCAGGTACTGAAGTCTTGCCAGTGCTTCATTACACAAAGAAGACTACAGAAGCCTGCACACAGTAAGGTGTAGATGGAAATGCTTGCCAACACCTGATTCAAATGAAATATTCTAGTGACTGAAGTTCTTACACCCACCACTGAAACATCCTGATCTGCTAATCAGATGTTTTAGGTAGTTCTGGTATTCCATTCCTAAATGAAAATTAAATTCCTAATTATTTTACTGGTCTCAGAATACATACATCTTCAAAACATCTAAATTGAGGAACACAGGGAACTCAGATGAAGGTTGTGTAGTGGCTTTACATTCTGCATACCAATCATACTGACAACATGATTACCTTTTAAGCAGCGCAAGTCGAAAACCAAAGTGTGCAGCAAAGAAGAAATACATTTAAACAGTTAAAATGACAAAGAAAATTGAATTATATGTCTACTGCTTACTGTACAGTACTGGACAAACTGCAATATCTGCGCTACCTCCTCACCCCTGTAAATGCAAAGCAAATGCATAACTCTCAAACACAAACAGACTTACAGAAACTGACATATTTAAATAAAACCGTAGCTTCTTTGTCTTCTGCACAATATAAGCACAAGGTTTCTACTGTATAGCTAAAGCTTGTGGGTGCAGCACAGCAGAACTCACAGCAACAAATTTTCTCTATCAAGATGTACCAAGTGCTGTTATTATCAAGAAGCTTCGCAGTGGCCCAACCCTGCTGACAGACACCAGCATGTGTGAACATTCCTCAGCCTTGTAAATTTTTGCCAGCCCTCCTTTAGAGTGGGACAAATGAGTTTTTTAAATGGAGCTTGATACATATTTTGAAAGGAATTGCATGAAGCAGTTATTTATGATAAGATTGGCGATTTCAGTCCTGGCAAACATCTTCAGCATCTTCTTCACCTGTTTGTGCAGCAAGAACAAAAGCAGAACAAGATTTCTGTTAAAAGGCTGGGCAGCAATTCAACCAGCAGTGTTATTCTAATAAGCTTTAAAGGAAAGGTGTTGAAATAAAAGGGTTTGTGAATGCTAACAGACAGAGACAGCCAATTTTGTTGATGCTGCACAGACTAACTGTAAGGTTGTCAGGCAAAAAATTCCCTTTATTCCAGTGATTAACCAAGAGGTTGAAGTGGACAAAAGGAGAGCCAAGCCTAATAGAATAGAAAAGTTCATCCTGTTAAGAATTTCAAATTGCATCCTTGGGTGGGGACAGGATTTATTACGTGACCATGACCGCCTTGTAAAATCTAGTGCTTCAGTCATTGACATAACAGTAGTGACTGCACAGGCAAGTATTTGTCCTCTGTATACATGCCTCAAACACCATGTTCTTTTCAGCTTATTTAACTATGATTTAAGGTTTTGGCCACCAGAGAGAAAGCTTATTCAGAGACAGTATAACAGCTTCCCTAATGGAGATGACCCTCTGTGTAAGGAAGAGCACTGAGAGAAACTCAACCCATTTTCAAGGGAAGACTGGTAACTATAAAAAGAGAAAATTAGGAAAGAATCTTAAAAATAGAAATACAATATTCTGAAAATATTCTAACAAATAATTTCAGTTATTTACAATCCTTAAATCCTAAAGTGATTCACAGTCCTTAAGTCAATGACCAAACTGGTATTTTTGCACAGGTGTAGAGGCACTTGACCTACCAGTATGAAAATCACCAACTGACCTGTTATGTCTTATCTTTCTTAAAATGATATCATAGTGGTACAGAACATCTACCCATCTGTTCATAGCATGCCTGGATTAGTAAAGTTACAATCACAGGGAATTTGTCTCCCCCTTCCCTTCCTCTCCCCCAGGTTATCCTTTAAAGGCCATTCCCAGCACTGTTTCAGAGAAGAAAGAATTGAGGTTTGAGCTTGACAAGCTGTGTACAAACCAGTACTGTCATCATGTGCACAGAAAAAGTGCACAGCCTTGAGGTTTTCATTTCTGCCAGACTTTGCTCAGAATAAAAGCCTTGCTTAGTTTGTCTCAGATTAACTACAGAGGCTACCACATTTAATTACAGAGTCAATTTTATCCACACCACTAGTGCACAAAATACAAGTTCACAGGCTTATCACAAGGCAATATATTATCTATCAGCAAAATTGGATGAGGAAAATTAAACTCCCCACACCGAATCCCTGCCATAAGAACCAGACAATTCTGCCAGCTGGAATATTTCTTTATCCTGGCAGATTTCACAGAATGCACATACTTGTGTGGGAGCATTACTGGCCAGCAACAATATTTGACTGCTCTAAAGACAGGCAACCTGACATTTCAGTAACTCTCCCTCCACCAACAAAATTCCATCTACTTCATTCATTTCAGATATTCAGTACTAATTCTATGCCACACAGCATCCAGAAAAGTCATTGTTCTACAGCTGTTTACCAAAATCTGGATTTACCAGTCCACTTAATGGTCATATTCAAACTCAATTTCTAGAAGTCTATAGGCTGACCCTTATACCCCTCTCCACCAAAGTAACTCCTACTCTCAAAAATCCCAGTGCATGAATGGGAAAGACAATCTATACATGCAAATTACATCTTATGAATTACATACTCAGATGGACCTAGAGAAGAGATTCACTATTCTATATGAAATAGAATGACTATAGAATGATTATGAAAGACTAGAAGAGTGGATATAATTCCTAAGGTTATTATGAAAGTGAAAAACTTATCCATGTTGAAACTGCACAGGGAATTTGACTAACTACCGTGTGTTTATGTACATATACACCAGTGACAGACTATTACCAAAACCATAAAATGATTTTACCACCGGTAAAACAGTAAAAAAATAGTAATTTTAAGTACTTCACAGTTTTATGGCCTTTGATTATGTCAGTCAATAGCCAAATAAGCACAAAAAGTTTGGTTTAGATTAAGCAGAGGGAATTGGGAATCATAGGGTAATCTGAATGTCAATTTATAGAACAACAAAAATTTAGAGGCATGCAGGAGCTGGCTCACCACTTCCTACAGTAAAAAAAATAAAGTTTACAAGCAATGTAAAGTAGTCTGAAAATCTGATAGATGGAAAGCTGATGGATAAAGTTTTTTTAAGACCTGAATTTTAGTATTTGTTTCACCATTACTCATCCTTAAACATAAGAGACATTTCCTGGCAGGTCTGGTTACTTCTTAGTATCCAATCACTTAACGCCAAATGTATACCTCCACACATCGCTGCCTTTGGAGAACATGGAGGAGCGGATGACCTCAGGAGCCATCCAGGCATATGTCCCAGCTGCGCTCATTTTGGTAGTTTTATGCCATTCCCTGGCCAAGCCGAAATCCGTGATCTTCAATATCTTGTTGCTCAGATCTCCATTTTCCACCTTTTCGAGTATCAGTACTGGAGAAAGGGGGGGGGGGGGGGGAGGGGGAATAAAAGGTATGCAGAGTAAAGCTAGTATTTATACAAAAAAGATACTCCTGGAGATCTCCCCAGTTTCAAGATTCTCCCTGACTTTCTGTTATTCAAACATACCACACTGTTAAAAGTTATTTTAAGCTGATCCCTCTATCTGACAAGTGATCTGTTGTCTAACAAATAACTTCATATTTAACCAAAATACAAAGCCCCAGAGAACAAACAGATAACAACATGATAATTTTATATAGTGCCTAGTGTCATTCTGCACAATAATTCTCTGCTAAGAGGAAGTGAACCACTGTAACTTCTAGAAATCCAGATAAGGGAAAACATTTCCTAATTAATCCTCTCTCAGCAAGCCAGTAATAGCATCTTTTTCTTGAACTGCTTAGAGGACTTTATTTTTTTAAATCCACATACACACACAGGCTGGAAATACTCTTCATGTAAATGTGTCAGTAGTGGAAGCTCTATGTACACAGTTGTTTGTTTTTTTCTTAAGTCACAATTAGATGACCTGCAATAACACGCCCGGTTCAAGACTTCATATACACCACCATGTTATAGACTCCCCCCCCAACAATATGAAACTATTAATTAAGCTGCCGTGTTTCAATGGCAAAGGAGTCTATTCCCAAGAACTTTTAAAAAATCTTAAGGAGGCAGAACTCAGGAATACTTTGGTATAAATACTCCTCGTTAGCCAGAAAGCTGTACTGTCATCCCACTGCGAAATGAGTGTAAACCAGAGGCCAGAAGTATCCACTCCGCTTTAGCAGCACCTCATTATTCTCCTTATCTTAACGTAAAGTGACCACAAAAGGTGTGCCAGCAATGCAACATCAAGCAGCAGAATATAATAGGCCACTATTAAACTTCCATAAGTAACACAGCCATGGAATGATTTTCAGCTACTTGTAAAGAACCACAAAGAAAAGAATATTTGTATTGCCATGAGTACAATGACTTCACAGTGAAAGGCATCAAACCACTAATACACCGTCATTATGCAGTTACTCAGTTTTTCATTTTAGCAGACAAAGGTTCTTAGAAAACAAGAGTGGATTTCCCCCTTTCTATGTATATGTGCACAAACTGAATAAATAAATTAGTAACAATAAGAAAACCCCAAACAAACAAAGCAGCCTACAAACAACCAACCATGGATCATAACAAAACCTATAAAAGACAAAAACATTGCAAAAATTACAGTACATATAAAAATCATCTCCATGACTATTTTTAGCAGTCCACGAAAAGACTCAAGTATCAGTCTGCAGCTAACACAGCTTTTGAGGGGAAAGGGGGAAGGGAGGAGAATAATCTCATATCCATTCTCATATTTTCCTCCAACAATCAAAATGGGATATCCCATGAAATAGAACCCAAAATGTTATTTGAACCCTTCTGCACAGTAATTTATACACATCTAAATGTTAAATACTGCATTTACTTTCATTAATCTTAAAGAGTCTTTTCTCTGAAAAAAAAAAAAAATAATAATCAGCTGCTCTTTCTACAAGGTTTCAGAATTCACAAAATACTACTTCAAGACTTTCGTGGGCCAGCTCAAATTGTGAATGAACTGGACTCACGATTAAGGTCTTGGTTCTTGCTTCTATTACAAAATTCCTTTCTAACATTACTGAATGCTCCACTTCCCTAATTGCAGAAGGAGGAGGAGTTTGAGGCCTATAATTACTACTCTTCTCATTTATGAAAAAGTATATGTATTTTTATTGCCACACTTCAGTGCAGAACAGAACCATCGCAAGAAACAGGAACAGAAGGCTTCCTTTGTGCATCTTCTTCTAGCAAGCCTTTTTTCTTTCTTTCTAGTAGATGAAGGACTGCCAAGAGAAATTGCTAACAAGTCACTCACTAACTGCAAGTGTAAAAACCTCTTGGAATACACATACCAAGTTTCTTCTTCTAGCATGTATGCACTCTGCCTACAGAGTTGGCAGAATAATAAAATCTAATTTAAATTTTAATTACAGTAATATATAAATATACCATGAAGCTGTAAAGGCAAAACAAAACTTTGAAACAAACAAGCATGGCTTTAGAGTTTTTTTTGCTTTCCTCCACAAGCACAATGAGCAACAAACAAATTTGTTCACAAGGTAGATCATATTCTATTTGAATGAGCTCAATAACAAGACAGAGCACCAGATATCACAGTTGAATTGTACCTACCTTTCTGGCAAGAGGTTATTTAAATCTAATTACCTCGATTTGTATTAGCTTCTAACAAAATAATTAGTACTTACACAGATCTTTTGTATCCATGAACTTGTTCTTTTGTCAGATGCACACTAAGTAATATAAATTACCATGACAAAAGACCACAAGGAAGGACAATGAAAGAGCTGGAATTTTTGCAAGTCCTTGATTCCTTAGTTACATCCTTGGCACCCCTCCTCTTTCCTTGTAAAAACTGCTTGGGATAACAATCCTGCAATCCAAAATTGTAAAACTTAATTTTAAGAATCGTATATCTTTCCAGAATCTGTTTCAGTTCTTATCGTGGTCAATATCAACAGGCTTACTCGTAACTGCTAGGAATCTCCCTAGCCCATTTGTCAGATTTTCAAACCAAAAACCTTGATTCTCCCTCTTGTGTTTGTTCAGATTCAATGAATAATCTTATAAACAGGTGAAATATTAATTCCTTTCAGTTTCTTCCTTAAAAATCTCTTCCACGGAGAACACAAGCCAAGTTGCTAGGACACTGCAAATGCATTTCATTCATGCTAATCAACATGGTTTCATTTGCTTGTGAGCTTTATTTACAACCAGTTATTACCTCTTGTTTAATACTTTGAGTGCAAGTTCTCTTCTGCAACTCATTAGTCTACCACAATAAGCAACATACTTCCTACACTTAGATTTAAAATTCCCCTCCATCTCTGAACAGATCTGATCACTTACGACAGAGCAGCCGAGTGATCAGCCTAACAAGAATTCAGACACAAATACAGAGCAACTACATCAAAAAACACAGCTAATCTAACCAAGGCAGTAAATATTCTTATTCTGGTGTGTTGATTTAAAATTTCTGCATGAGATAAAAAGGTTTTTCAAAAGGTAGAAAATCGAATTGAAAATATTCCACATTCCCAGCCTTAAAAAAGATGAATTGTTTAACAGCAAAGATACTGGGCCTAGTTTTCAGGCAACTAGGGAAGAACAAGAGCCAAGTCAGCAGAAACATGCAGAATGTGCGTCAGCTTGTCAGCTGGTGGATCCCATTGCCCTGTTTCAGCATGGCCCATGCAAGTGATCTTTTCCTGTGTGCATGCAGTGCCAAGTTGTAGATGAAGGTATGCTATGTACTACTGTTCCTAACAACTGAAAAGCATCTTTTCCCACTGTAACAGAGGCTAAAAGCTCATCTTAAGTAGTATGGGTAAGAGCCAACTGGCAGTGTAGAAAAGGGACTGATGAAGCAAGCCAGGTATTACAAATACATTCAAAAGGGGAATTAAAACACGTTATAACAGCTTTGAGGACCCAACTGCTACAGCGAAACAACTTAATATAGCAAATCACCAATACCGTGTTCTTTACACACTTCAAGTGCAAAGCAAAGCACAGTGTCTTCAACTAGCATGAAAAATTGTTAGCATCTTTAGATGAAGGGTTATCCTCAACACCTGTGCTTATAGAAGCAATAATCCATAAATGCTCACATACATTTTTATATATTCCTGACAGATTTTTAACTTCTCCTCTGGAAAATAAGCATTTGACAATGAGAAATTAATGACAGCTCAAACGAATTCTGTCTAGCAAGAGAACTCTTCCATATCTCAAGGTTTCTCAGCTGAGACAACAAGCAGTATGACCCAAATAGGCCTTGGTATCACCTAGCAAGACCTTGCCCAGATCAGGCAGTCATCCAGATACAGCTACATGTGATTTAGATGTGTAATTTCAACCACTGAGAATTTACTAGTAATTTTATTACCATAAGTACTCTCAAGAATCATTACTGATAATGATTTGACCCCACTATGTAATGTCTTGAGAGACAGGCAGACAGCAAGTTTTGAATGACAACAGTCAGTTCAGACATGCTAGGTCTGAGTTTAAGAGAGATACAAAGGTAAAAGTTAAACACTGGGCCTCCTCTTATCTAGGTTATGATGAAGACCAGTCTTTCTTCTTTGAAATGGAAATGTCTACTGAGGTTCCCCCATATTATCTGAAAACATCTTTCCTGCCTTACAAGAAGTGTTAAGGATATTTGACGAGGCCTTCTACAGGCAGCTGAGAGCGGCCTCACAGTCACAGGCTGTGGTCATCGTGGGGGATTTTAACTTCCCTGATGTTTGCTGGAAGGACCACTCGGCAACCCAGCCGCAGTCCAGGAGGTTCCTCCAGTGTATGGATGGTAACTTCCTCCTGCAAATGGTGGATGAGCCAACCAGGAGAGGAGTGCTGCTGGATCTCATCCTCACTAACAAGGAGGGTCTGGTCGAAGCAGTAAGGGTTGAGGGCTGCCTTGGTTGCAGCGACCACGAGATGGTGGAATTCAGGATCTTGTGTGGTAGGACCAGTAGAATAGCAAGTAGACTTGCAACCCTGGACTTTAGCAGGGCAAACTTTGGCCTTTTCAAGCAATTGCTAGGGGAAATCCCATGGGCAAGGCTGTTTGAAGGTAAAGGGGCCCAAGATAGTTGGTTGGCATTCAAGGATTGCTTTTTCCGAGCTCAAGATCGGAGCATCCCGACACGTAGGAAGTCAAGGAAGAGGGCCAGGAGACCTGCGTGGCTAAATAGGGAATTGCTGGGTATGCTCAAGTGGAAGAGGAGAGTTTACAGGTCATGGAAGGAGGGACTGGCCACTTGGGAGGAATATAAGGCTGCTGCTAGAGGATGTAGGAAGGCAGCTAGGAGGACTAAGGCATCCTTAGACTTAAACCTGGCGGGAAGGGTCAAGGACAGCAAAAAGAGCTTTTTCAAATACATGGC